TGACCTATTCCAAATGTGGCTTGACCAATTACGTCATTAAATGGGAAAAGACAAACTGTTAAATAAGCGCGGTATAAAAGCTAGGTGATCCCTTCATATTTCATTACGCATCTTGTACTGCGCATAAAAACACGTAATCAGGCGAATAATCGCGCGCAGTACACGATATTGTTTTCAACCAAGGGACCAGGTAAAGAGGTGCGACGCTCTTAAACGAGCACGGTGACTCATGAATGGGGTAAGTTTGGCCTTTCGTATCTCATAAACAGGCATGGTGACCTATTATTTTTGTGCGTGTCTTTCAAACATACATTGGTATGGAACTTTTAAGGGAAGTTAAAAAAAGATCGTTCAATAGCTTTTTCTTCTGAGGAATCACCTTAAGCATGGAGGACCACTTCATTGTCGCAGAACTTTTCATAGTCATTGTAAGTCCTGTTTAGAATGTGACAAATTTACAAGCTTTTAAAGAGTTCGAGTCTGCCCTCGGAATTATAACCTTAATTTCGTGATTATGAACACTCATAAATTACCGGTGTTCCGTAACAAAATTGATTAAGATTGTTCACTCACAAAGTCGTCTTTGGGCTTCCTTAACAGCTGTTACAAGTTCTGAGCATTCTATAGCATGGCAGGACACTTTTTCACCGACCTTGATTTCTTCAGAGAATCTATGCCATAGCAAATACATTTTTATGTACAACATTTACAGCTCGTAACGAGCTTCGTATGTAATTATACGACCAACAGTACTTTTATTACCCGTACATTTTCTAAACTAAAGGAGTAAAAAAAAAAAAAATCTGTTTTGCGAGAAAGGGAGAGCGAAAAAAGGACATGTGATTGTGTCGAATTAATTTCAGTACTCTGGACTGGATATAGGAAGAGCATGAGGGGTAGTGATGGACAAGTGAAACGATAAAGTGCTGTTAAAAAATGTTCTTATGAAAATAAACATTTAATTTAAATTTAAAGACGAGCTTATCTAACATTACAACGTTTCCAATATTTTTCGTTCGTTACTCAAAACACCTCACCTCTTGGTTATTTTTTCAAGGTAATTTGCAATCTCGTCATTACCATTATTCTTCGCAATCGTCTCTGGTAAGGTTGAGTTGTCTTTGTAAGCGTGAAATACTGTCCTCCCAGCAGAGGAATTAAAGATCAACTCAATGAAGTTTTGTGCTCCATATTTCGCTGCGTTATAAATCAAGATGCTTAATACATGGGGTGCCCGAGAAGATCCTGAAACATAAATTCGACTCAAAATGAATTACAGAATATTTCTCTCAATACAAATATTTCGAGAGGCTATGTCAGGGGGATTATCATCAAAAAAGTGATCTAACCATGGTAAGGTGTCCTTAGGTTCATTAGCATACATCCCAGTTTGCACTAACCCGTTACTTTCTTGTAATCCTTCTTTTATTAATACTACTTTTTTTTTTCGGTCAGAAATGTACTCTTTTGTTTCCGAATATTTTATTGTACTTTCGGTTAAGAATAGTCTCACCGAGATTTCCACAACCTTGGGTTCCACCTGTACTGTTTCCACCTCCAGGATTTCCTGAGCTGCCACTTGAATAACGAGGCAATAAAGTTTCAAACAATTCCCTTTGTCGGCCAAGATCAAAGACTAGTTCCTTTAGAGGTTCTTCCGTTTGGTACCGGCTATAGTAAATCTCAGTCTGTCCCAACAAGACATCATCTTGACTTTGAAGGCTGATGGTTACGAAACCTGCTTCCCCTGAGGCTGCAAAAAAGAATAGAACGATCAAGAGAACTTTGAATCATAGCCCTTGAAAAGAAATATTACCCTCCAGCACATTATCATAAGTGTCTCCCAAACGACTGTGTAAACAATTGCTGAATTCAGCCAAGGGGCTCCAATGTGATTTTAACAAACACTTATCTACCTACCCTCCTACGACTATACGGACGTTTGGCCCCAATGCAAGAGTGCTTCGTCAAATTCGCTCCGTTCACGATGAGTTCAAGTTCGCCTTATCGAGTACAAAAATGACATCAAGAGCTTGTGGCTAATTATTCTCAGTTTTGCGAGTGCTTTTTTTGTAGCATTTTTGCCTCTTGATATATTTCCAAGTAGTCAGGGAGGCCATAGTCCTTTTTCACCGAGTAGTAGAATTCTCGCTTTTTTGTTGAATGGTTAAGCCACAAAATGGAATGTATTTCTTTTTTATGAGATCGATCTATTGCTTTCCTTACAGGCATTCAATTGTTAGCTTTGATAGTTGTTTAGAGTTATTTAATATAGGATTACTACTTTTCTTCGGAATTTGATCAAATCTTATCAAATATCGACATTATGTTCAACATCTTCAACAAACATAAGTTTGCAAGTAAAATTCAGTGCTGTCAACTGCGATTGCTGGCGATTAGTCGGTGTCACTTACCCTTGAAACATTTAATAATTTGCCTTTCATTCACAGAACATTTCGCATGATGCTATCGGCATGAAGGCAACGATGAAGTCGCGGAGTAACCTTTAGAAATAGTTTCAAACCTGGAATTAAACAGAGGTAATCATCCTCCACTTTTTTTAGTTGATATCTGCCCAAATCACCAAACGTAGCATATATTGTAGTAACGCCCACGGACAGCTTTGGAGTAAAGGTGAAAAGGCAAGGAGCTCCTCCCTTAGATTAAAAGCGGAAAAAATAGATCAGCGTCAACGTTCACTCTTAAAGAAAAAAACCAGAAAAAACTGTCTTAAACTAGGGCACTTTAATTCACGTAGGTAAATGATATAAAAACTGGGGGGGGAAACCCCTTTACCTCTAGAGGACTCCTTTGCGGATTAATCTGGACATCATAATCAAGACGATGAGCGAGGCCCAATGAATCGTCTAAATTCAATGAAATTTTTTTTGATCAGAATAAGCGTATCTCAGTAAAAATTGGGGTATTTAAGAGTTTAGTAATGCTTTCATATAAAATAAAGGATAGATAAGAGTAGTGGTGTGTTTGAATGCGCGAAGGGAGAGGGGAGCTTCTATTGTTGCCAGTTTTACCCATTTTACTATGTGCATGGTTTTTAGCCAACCTTCTGGAAATGAACAATCGCTTCCTGAAAATCCACTCGTTATATCATTTTCAGGAGAGGAGAAATGCTCATCGATCAACTGCCGAAAGAAAATATCTATATAAGTTCATTTTGTTAGTAACAGTGACAGCAGCTGCGTAATATTTGAGACATATCTAATAGATCTACCTCTAGATGAAGCTCTTGTCGCTGCAGTCTGTAGTCTTCAGCTTGAGGCACAGCAACTGAAAATATTGTAAATTGTGAGATGTGGGCTAATCTTAATTTATTTTTTATAATCCGTTTTCATGAAATCGACTTAAAAGTTAAAAGAAAAAATTTAAGCCAAGAGCAATTGGAATCTAGTATTTATCGCATGGATATTGGCTTGAATGACTGTGAATATATTAGGATTACCTTGAGGAAAGCTGGTAGATGCCTCCAGCTGCTCTGAATGGGGAACCTGAAAAGAGACACACATAAAAATATTGGTCAAACAACGTGAATTACGAAGGAAAAAAGTGACTTTTTTTGTCATATCATAATTGCAAACGTGGGATAAACAAATTTTGCGAAGTCCCCTCATCAAACCTTAGACCTTCAAACACTCTGTCACTGACCCATAAGTCATGGCTATGTGGCAGAGTGTTGGAAGGTCTAAAGTTTGATAAAGGTGATCAGGGTGAGCTATACCATCACTTAGTTCAAAGGTAACATGCGTTCCGCATACTGCTAAGATCAGGAATGAATTGTAAAGAAGTAACCGAAAGAAAATAAAGCAAAAAATAAAAAACGAATTTTCGTTCTTAGAGCTCAGCATACTAAATGATCCTTACAGGATCTGTGAGCTTTATATCACTTTCTGAAGCGGATATAGCTGCGATATACTTCGCTGTTCCATAAAAAGCAGATCAGGTTTTTTTTTTTAATGAACCTTCTTTGTGTGGCTTACGGAAGTATTTAAATGGAAAATGATACCGTGTTTTACCTTATCCTCCAAAATGTAAAGAGCCGAGTTGCCCTCTGTTTTTCTTTTTATTTTCTTTCCATCCCAGATTCGTGAACCACAGTTTTGAGAAGTTGAATTGCTTTTATCCTTGCCTTTAGCAGTTCCACAAGAATAACTACAGATAAAGCAATTAACGGAAAATGACTCTAACTGCGACTTCCCATTCACTGGATTAATACCTCATTACGGTTATACTGAGTAGTTTTGATATATTTTCAATGAACAGGAGCTCGAGTTTAGGGATAACTAAATCAGATCTCTCTTACCTCCTATTTTTCAAGTATGGAAATGTATCTTCAAGCTTCTTTTTAACCATGCTTTCTGACATCTCTTGGTGAAATTCCACCCGCCTTTTATATTGGGGGGATTTTCTTAGATTTGCTAGGGTACTTTGTGTTGGCATGTGAGGAATGCCATTCATCCATCTGAAATCGGAAGTCTTTATTAAATATACATTCCTCTCAAAAGGCCCACTAGCATCTTGTCTATTGCGAATGGCGGAACCTCCTCGTTGCTCAATTTCCTGAAAATAAAAAAAGACTGAATTAAACGGTAGCCGATGGAACTCCGCTGTAGTGCAATAGCCTTTTGCCTTGAAACGTCGTGTTAACGACTTGCTTTTTCAATATTATGAAAAGTGGAGGCCTTAGAGAGTTTATTCTTGCGATCTCTTCTTCCAGATAATCCAACAGATCACGGTCCTTCGGACACAAAATGTTTTTGAAAGAAAAACCACTCTCGCATGCACTGCCCACAACATTAAGACCTACTTAATGCACAACCCCATACCTTAGGTGGCAATCCCTTAGAGGAGAGCAAAACTAGTAAGGGTAAAGCGATAGAGGAACGCTTATCTTGTTGAGTTGAGGCACGCTGTGTCTTAATTGTCCTAGTTGTCTAATAAGGGGGGTTTGACCAGCGAGTGTGCCGCACTTAATTTGATCTACCTCGAGATATTGCTCCTCGTACGCTTGTTGTCCGTAGTGATTCCCCTCCATTTGTGTTGTAATGTTTTCAGCTGAAGGCGTTGTTACTGAAACAATAAGCAAAAAGGGTGTGTAAATTCAAGTTTGATCCAAGACTTGGAGTTTAGGTACCATTTTCAGAGGAAGCATGAATAAAATTAGCATCAGGAAATGTGTAGATTTCTTCTGCGTCGGAAAAACTTAGGGTGATTCACATATTTATAGATGTGTATATGCAAAAATGAGTACTATTGCTAAAAATCTATGGTCAAATAATTAAATACGTTCACAATATCATTCAGTCACGGAATATCATGTCGCTCTCAATTACCTTTCATCATTTCAGGGAAAAGAGACTTACCTTGACAACCCTGCTGGCCTTCCTCAATTTCCATCGGATAATCGTCTGGAAGTGACTTCTAAATGTGTAGGAAAGCATGGGACGTAAGGTATTGTGTCTTGTTAACCGCCGGAATCAGAACAAATTAGTTTTAGTGAGTGTAGGCTTCAATTGTTAAGTTTGTACCTTTAAGTGCAATTTTGAGTCATACAAACATCGTCTAGCTTTGAAGCTCTAAGTAGCGCTGGAGTTCATACCAACAGCCTCTTAGCCTTAAAGGAGAAATAGAATAACAAAGTCAGTCACAAGGATCTGGTGCTTGCTTTTGGACAGTTGTGATTCTTTTTCAACGTTTAAATCGCTATGATAATGTTTTCATTTAATCTTTTGACCAATGAAGCCACGTCAATTTCACATTCTTAGAAGTAGAAATTTAAAAAATAAAGTAGTCAGGCATAAATTGAAACGAACCGAAAAGATAACATTTGGTTCATTTAACAAACAAATTATCTGCAAAGAAGTCTAAGCTGCAATTGCCACATGAGGCTGATCAAGTAAAAGATTACATATGTATTTCTCCTGCTTATTATTTTACTTTGGGGATATCTACCGTGGGTAGAAAATGTCAGAGAACAACTGCCATCGATGAAATATTGTCAGATAGCGGACTCGTGTTTCTTGCCCGAACGCTAAAAAATAATGCATGCACGTTTCATCAAGTCATTCAAGTGTAGTCATGACTAATCATGCCTCCAGGCAGAACATTTAGATTGTGAATTAACATAACTTAACACTCTCCAGGAAAAGTCTCTTTATACCCGATTTATTTCAATTCTTCGACCGAAAAAGCATATGTACAACATGTGTAAATACATGATACGGCAAATCGGCCGAAAAACATGATGAAATTTTAAATGTTATTCGACTTTCGACACCCAATCGTGTTCAGTGGGCGGTCCAAGCTTTCGAAATGAAAACATTAAATCGGGTACTCCTGGAACTCAGAAACTGGTTTCGAAGGTAACTCTTAAGCATTGCTATGTACTGTCTTACCTTAACTTGGCGAATAGCAGGCGTAAGAAATATAATTACAAGATTTAAACCATTGAACAACAACAAACATATGAAACATATGTGTGAACTGCGGTTATGAGACGTATATGAGAACGATCCTTCGCAGTAAAGCACTATTTGAGCAATAGTGAAAATCAGACCTGAAAAAAATTTCAGGCCTGTACGGGATTCGAACCACTGACCTCTGCGATACTAGTGCAGCGCTCTACCAATTGAGCTAACAAGCCAAGAACGAGTGGTAAGCATGAGCAGTCTTTTAAATGCGAATGATAAATGTGATTTCAGTTTCTCGAGCGTTCTTTGGTAGATTGAATCATCAAATATGGTGAACAAGAATTTCGAAACATTAATACGACAAACTTATTCCGAGTCAGCCTTTAGGTGATTGAGATGATTGTAGATCAATTGTAACGAGACAGTACAGGCATCTCCAAGGATCACGTTGAGTGCCTTACGCCATGGAAGTGTGTCGTGTTGAGCGAAGGGAATCGCATGAAATCGGTGGAAACCCCTGGTGTTATTTGCTGGGAATATCAATCATCTTGAGATAATACAATGAGCACGTTTGAAGGTTTCCGACACGTGCAAGTACATATTCTTGTCGTACCTTTATAGATCTCACCTGAACCAGACCTTTAATCCAATTTAATTCAATATTTCACGAGCTCAGGGAGTACGTTTGTCAAATGTTCGTATCTCAAAGCGTGTATGTAGGCTTTCACCTCTGTTTAAACCCAGTTATGAACAGACGCTAAGGTGTCAATTATTTGTCAAAAGCTGCTTGCCGCAACTATTCGGCGTGACCGCGCTTTTCTTGTGTAGGAGGTAGGGGGTAGGGAAGAAAATTTGCGTCACGTACTGGTGAACAAGTAGTGCGTCTCTAGCGCTCAAAGGTGACTTCAAAATGACCCTTTTCAGATTTTATCACGTAGTTTTGCGAGCATCCACCAACGTTTTTGCGAATTACTTAGAAAATTTATACTTCAGCTGGAGGTCTCTTGTTGGGAACTACAAGAAACGGAAAAGTTTATTTCATCGAATGTAATCGGGTTCTTTCTGATCGAAGAGTGATAAATTTGCGTCAGAGTTTGTAACTTGCTTTGCTTCTTGTGAATTTTTCCCTAAATAATTATTCAATTAGCTAGTTCTCTGAAGCATAACCCCCTCCTTCAATTATAAGTCACTGTGTCATTCAAAAACTATCAGCCATCACAATAGTAAAAAGTGTTTTCTCACGCTAATGTCGATCTCATTTGCAAAACTGTTTCAGGATGTATTGAACACCGAAAAAATTAAAGACAACCAAGGGAATTTGCAAATTTATAAACACAAACGTAGTCAACATATCATTTGTACCGTTTCTCAGAGGGATTTTCATTTCCATTCAAGTTTACTGAAAATCATTTCTGTTGTAAAAGTCTTATGCGTGCTCCATCCGGTCCGAGTTCAACTGCACTCTCTCCAAATCAACCTGAAATAGAGAGGTAAAAATNGATAGAAAAGCAGGTTCTGGCACCCAAATCAGTCCATTTTGTTTCTTTAGCTGATAGTTTTATTGTATTATTTTCAAAACTTTTGAAATCCTCATCATAAATGAAAACAGAACAGCTCTACGGGCCCGTTAAGTGACCGGGACTTTTGAGAAACGGCCCTTGGGACCCGTTTCTCGAAAGTTCCGGTAACTTAACGGGCCTGAAGCCATGTTTTAAAATCAAAACTTAAGGGATAGGGAAGCAGGTTCTGGCACCCAAAACAAGTCCTTTTTGTTTCTTGAGCTGATAGTTTTATTGTATTATTTTCAAAACTTTTGAAATCCTCATCATAAATGAAAACAGAACAGCTCTACGGGCCCGTTAAGTGACCGGGACTTTCGAGAAACGGGCCCCTGCTGATCCGGAAAAAAGTCATGCGACCCACATTCAGTGGCAAAAGAAACAGAAGAAAAAGGATTTCGTTTCTCAATGAATCGTGATTTTCTGGCGCAGACTAGAAGAAATAAAGAAAATTTTCCTCTTTATAATCTCTTTTCGTGTTTATATGATGAAATATTTATTGAATTAATACAGTCGGGCGGGACGGAAAATTATTACGCTCCTGTTATGACGTAGGACCTCGTATGACACGGAGGCAAATATTTTCCCTCGGCCCCCCTACTCAGTCAACGAGTCCAAAATATTTAGTAGCATTAAATGGAATAGTTTTACGAATTTTGCATTTGAAACTTTGGACTCTGCTTTGCATCTTTTCTTTTTCTAAGAAGGCAACTAAAGTAGTGCATGTCTAGTTTCATCGGGTCAACAGTCTTTTCTTCTGCGACAGCTAGCTACTTCGGAGGTCAGTTGGGTTTCCATTACTGTGCACAACCGATGTCGATCAAATCAGTTAAGTTTCATTAGATAGACTCGCACTTCATCATTTAAATAAAAACAAGTGCACTTAATTTGAATATTAATGCAACCGTGCGAGCTGCTCCAACCAATATTTATTACCAAAAGGAAATAGAGTCAACAGCTACACGAGGTAGACGTAAGAGACCACGGATGGTAATCTCCACCATAACTTAACTTAACTTGAAACTCAATCAGATCTAGCATACACAGAATCCAAGTATACGTCTCTTGTTGCAGCTTAATAGGGACAATGTTTCGCGTCATCGTGTTTCAAAATAAACTTTGCAGAGGGACAGTTTTGAATGCAAATTGGTTTGCTATCTGTGGGAACTGGTGATTAGCTATGGATTAACTACGAGGTGCTACTGTGAGAAGTAATGAGTAACTTTCTCATCCTTCGCCTTCGCTAAGATTACCTAATGTCATATTGGCTATTAGCCTAACATCAAGGGTCTGAGTTGAAGCTTTGCATGCCCATTAAGCTGCTCATTATGGGTGACAACAGCGAGCCAATATGATGATTGTTGGTTTGCAAACGGGAAATGATACGCTACTAGAAAAACTAGAATCAGTGAATCGGCGGTTGGAGAGTAATGGGTACACTGCTCTTTTGTGGAGCCATTGCATAAGTATTTCCAAGATCTCATTAAGAACCATCGGAATGCTTCTCTGGCAGAGCGTTCAGCGAGATCAATGCGATATACGTCACACGGAGTCCACTTCAGGCAAAATTCGAGTTAAAGAGACATTTCGGTTCACTCCATCGTCAGTCCTGAACGGGAAATGAGACGAAAGCCAGTTGGAAAACTCCATATGAAGAAAGTCGGTTGCTTAGAGCAAGTGTGAAAATTTCAGCTTAAGAGTTTTCCAAATAATTCTAAAAGGTATTGAAGTGGAAAGTACTTAAGATTGGGTTTCCAACTTACCGTCTTCCGAAGATATGTTCTTTGGTGTAAACATTGAAATCTAGACGACGGTGTCCGGGATCAACTCCTCTGCGTTCATGGGGTTGTTAAACTTTTAAATACTTTCCATGCAGGGTAAAATCCCTGACGTATGCCTCTGTAAATAGAACTATGACAGATAGATAAACTATGTGAAATAACCGTTCGTTATGGAAGGATTGATTTGCGTTCTTTCTGGTCAAAAATGTCAGAAAACATTCATCCTATTATGTGAACAAAACATTTTGGGGGATATTTTAAAGGTGGGGCGCCTACCATCATGTACCAGGTATATGAGCAAACTCGATTTTCAATGAGTGACATTCTCTGAGGCTACTTGTCAATTCAGGCCATTATGGTTTAACTAGGTCAAGACGTTGAGTTATTCGTTATTATTGTAGGTCGTGCGATGCATGGATTTCACTTACGTTTCATTGCAGGATCGGCTTTGTAATGGTATAGTTATGTCATAGTTGGGTCCAGTATCAGCGTGCAAGAAAAAAGATTTGGAGAAAACATGCCGGGCTAATTTGATTTTAATATCTTAACCCTTGAATGAGCTTAGACATCAAACACTAGAGGACCGTTAATAGTACAAATTTGTGGTGTGTATACACGTGATAAAAAGCTAACTGTCAGGTTACATCCACGGGCTTAGCTACGAGACTAGTCGATATCAGTCTTAAAGATGCCCATCTTTGTTTGTAAGGACGAGCACCGGCTCTCAATATAATTTATGTGACAACCATCCTTCTAACTACTAAAGGCTTCCCTACATTTCAATTCAATTTAAACTGTCTTTCATTTTCTCCTGTTGATATTTAAGAATAGACAGATATTTAGCTCTTGCAGGTTACTTCCGATAGCCATTGAAACTCCGGTCATCATTCTTCGTCGGTGGGGGAGGGGGGAGAGGGAGGATTTTGGTTGTGTCAGGATAGAAATTAGTCGATCCTCCCCTAAGGCTCTGTGCGATATATTTATGATATGATCCCCCCTCTCCTTCGCAGTTAGTGAGCAGCCACTTTTCTACCGTCCCCCCCTCCTTTGTACTCTCTTGGCGAGGGCTGATCCCATCTCCATTGCCCTTAAAAACTGTGGCACACCCCCCCCTCCCCCCGTACAGGTGATGAAAATGACTGGTCCTTAAAAGGCTTTACTCCAAAGAAGAGCGAATTCAAATATTATCTTTTAATATGGTCCATACTAGACTTAACTTATCATTATCGCTGTTATTTTCAAAGAGATCTGGAGGAGGCATTATCCAGCAGCTGCTCGAACGTCAAACAGCATTCAAGCAGTTAGGGGCTGGCTAGACAACTCGGATGTCCAATCCTTTTTCTTAGAAGTCATTGTGGTGTGGGCTTTAGTTACTATGTAATTATCTTTGTCATTGCTTTGGGGATATATAGTTTTCTCACAACTTTTTCTTAGAACATGTTTTTGCTGTAATTGGTAAAGAATCATGTTACACCTTACGAAAATCAGCAACCTGAACAACGTTACTTCTAAGAAAACTAAGTTAAAAATACTCGCTGAATTTATTACGAAAGATAAAAGGTCATGAGGTAGTTTCCTTGTCGCAGCCCACCAACCTTGACCCGATGGATTTCATAGCTGTATTAATAGAACTTCCAAAGCTTAAATTTGTGAAAACGTTTGCATACAGATTTAAATGTTCTTGAAAGCATACTTGCTCGAGTGGTGAACCCTGGTTTTCATACAAGCTCTCCTGGATCGTTTCTTCATATTTTCTTCTATGCATCTCTCTTCGGTAAAGACTCTCTGCACCCATTAATATACGTGGAATGGCCATGTCTTCATATAATTCGAAGCTTGGCTGGTGCTCCACGCCATGTTCGTTACAACTTAAGGATTGTGTGGTAACAATATCTTCTGATCTTTGCCGAAGAACTTGACCAAGAAGGTCCACACACATGTAGGGATTTACGAGAGTATCTTTGTTGCTGCATCCTGTCTGGGACAGCTGTGCACCGGTTTCCTCGGTTAGCACGTTGATATAACCTGGTGTTTTTGGTTTCTTCGCCTTATTTCTCATCGGCATATAATACTTCCTGGATAAGGCAAGGTCTCTGCAGCATGCGTTTTCATACAATTTCTGTTCCCTCTCAGAGTCATACTTAGCACGTTCAACACAAGTCGAGCGGCCCCTTGCCCCACCTGTCGCTTCATGAGAGGGTTGTTCGTTCAGATTTGTCTCATTGCTAAAATCACCATTGAACGAATAAGCGCCGGCGACGCAATCTTTATGATTTTGGAGACGTTGGTCCTCGCCGGCAACAGAATGGGATTTTGGAACGTGCGAAGAGAGACAATCAGTCGTATCTTCGTCGTTCTTAATTATCCAATATGTGGGTTCTTCGACCACCATCTCTGTCGCACTATCCGTTTGGTTCGTTTCATGCTGGTCAGCAACGTTTAACACTCCATCTGAGAAATTTCTTGGAGTTGATTGGTGAAATGCAGGGTAACACAGTGGTGGTGGCAACTGAAAGCTCGAGTAGGCATATTCGTATACCTCAGCGGTGTCGGTCTCGTTTTGGCGAACGCTATCGACATAAAGGTATTTGTGAGGGTTAAAAAATCCTCGAGAGCACATTTTTTCAATATCTTCTCCGGATGGGTGTTCCTCAATGTTTGTCACGTGAATAGCATCGTCAGGCTGGGAAACTGGTAAAACCGGCCATTCACTTTTCTCATGTGTGTTCAGCCACAGTTGCATTATCCATGACAACATCGGTTCCCTTAAAAATAGTACAAAATGCGTAAGAAGAATTTGAAATCAATTTGAAACAGGAAACTAAATCATACCTTATTCCAATTAGTATCATTGACTGGTAAACAAAATTGAGGTGGAGTGGATGGAAAAAATAAAATGAGAGGCTGACCCTTATACTCAACGAAAGGTAAGTAGACAGTTGTAAGGTAGTCAGGTTAGAGAATCGCTTTCTTCTGATCCACTTGTAAAGTATTTCATACCTTCTTGAGAGACAATCGATAATTGCAATGAAAGGAGGTCTCTGCATCGGTTCATATGTCCAGCACTGATGCATCATAATGAAAACCCAGTCAGGACAGCCGCTTGGTTGGTCAAGAGGTCCATTTTCTTTCATATGATCTAGAATCTGAAGGATTAGAAATCCTCCTAAGTATCTGTTCAGATACGACCAGAAACAAGTCTGGTTCTATTTCGTTCTGCTTTACATTACTGGCTTTTATTGAAACACCAGTTAGAGTCCTGTTCACTTCGGCAGATCCTATTGTCGGGTTTGAGTGTATTATTGGCATGAACTTACTTTATCTGCAGGAATATTGCAGTAGGGCATCGCAGTAATTCTATTCTGTTGTCCAGCTGCGAACGCAGAGTACAATTCCCATGCTAAGATTCCAAACGCCCACACATCACTAGCGTGAGAATAGTGGTTCTCCTGGATCACCTCTGGTGCGCTCCTAACATGCAAGAAAACCAATCGTGTCTAAAACTCTTTCGGCTAAAGCCTTATCTCTTTCTTCTTAAGATTTTTTTTTATTTTACCTCTCCACATCTATTTTGTTTTCATTTCTAGAAAAAAACGTGTATGCATGAAGGAAAGAAAAAAATAAGTAAATTTAAATATTTGAACGTTCTTACGACCATTTCCTCACGTCTAGATTATCTATTTTGTCGCACCTTTATGTCATACATGTCTATAACCCTTCAAACATTTTTTTGTAATCGAACCTGAACCTGCTGTGAATGAAAGTTCCATGATTATGTGCCCTGAAATAGGGTGTTAAGTTGACGCCCAACAGAAAACTATTCCTTTAGTACAGATTATCCTGTTTAGAGTTTATGCTTACCAACGAGTGGAATCAGACGGCATGACAGCCGCTACGACACATGAAGTGCTGGTGGCTTCATAGGCACTCATTGTTAGAGATTTAGAGCGACCAAGGCGACCAACCTGGATCTTAAGAAAATCATAACATATTAAACATTTTTTTTTTCATTCATCCTTATTGCGCATCCCCGCGTAAAGTGGGTATTTCGGCAACATGATATGTGAAAGGTCTAGGCTCATCTACTCTCGGAAGGCGATCGGCTTTTTCCTGGGAGCAAATTTAACAGTGTTCACTCGCATCAGGTATCGAATGTGCTTGCATGCGTCTTTGTAAAGAGCCTAGTTAGACTCAAAGTCCGTAGAAAGTACTTACCTTGTTCGGAGCCACCACATAAACGTGTTCAGGCCGAAGATCTCCGTGCACGATATGATTCACGTGAAGATAATGTAGAGCAGTGGCAACCTGGCAGAGGAATGTAATGATGTTTTCCATCGGGCATCTTCTGCTAAGGATAAATTCCTTCAAATTTCCAAAGGGCGATCTTGGTGAGATCTAACGAGAGAAGAATTAGTAAACGATAAAGAAAAAAAAAAAAGTGAAATTTGAAACACTAAAAAAATTTCTGTTCCCAGGATTGCTGTTCCAAACATACTGATTTCAAGCGAAGGTAATTTGAAATTTGAAACATTAGGCTTCTTTTAAAAGGCGGTGTGTAATGACTTGAACGATTTCATTGACCAATGAATACGACGTAATTAGTAATCAGAGATTAAATTCTAGTGAAATCGACTATGAGCGTCATACTTACAATGTCAACGACTGGACTGCGGGAATCTAAATGGTCTATCCGACTGATGGGAAGAAGAAAACTATTGCTGAGACAAAGTAGTCTCCTCAGGTGTTGTTTATCTCCTGCAGGAATTTTCTCTTTCATGGCATCCTGCATGAAAGAAGGTGTCAGCAGTTCAGTACCAGCAAAAATGATCAATCCGACTGAACTTTATTCGAAAAACAGTTACATTGGTGAATATTGAAAAGTTTAAACAACGAATTTAACCTGTGTGTGTTCTAAAATGTCTCATTGATTATCTTACACTTGTTACGATTATCTCTATCATATTAACATCATGATCAGGTGTTGTTTATCTCCTACAGGGATTTTCTCTTTCATGGCATCCTGCATGAAAGAGGGTGTCAGCGTTCAGTTCCAGCAAACATGATCACTCCGACCAAACTTTATACGAAAAACAGTTGCAATGCTGAATTTGAAAACGGGACGATTTTGACAGAGTGTGCTCTTAAATGCCTCATCGTTCATCTCTCGCGATTGCATATTTTTATTACTATTATCTTTATCGTATAACATCATTATAATCATTACCTTTATTATTACCATTAGCATTATACCAACACTATTATCATCTTAACTAGAGTATCAGTATGCGGTATGTGAAGTGGTAAATTTTTTTGGAGTAATGGCATAGAAAATAATTGGGTGAACTAAATTGAGTAAACAGTATACAGTATACAGTATACAGTATGGGGTATGTGAAGTTGTAATATGTTTTAGAGTAATGGCGTAGAAAATAACTGTGTTAACTAAATTGAAACAGTTTGGGCAAACCTGTTGATAATTTGTCGGTAGATCCACCAGCGTTTCACGAGTATCATACCCTTGAGGCTACAAATTGAAAACATAATAATAAATTCAGTACCAGCAGTAAAAATGATCAATCCGACTGAACTTTATTCAAAAAACAGTTACATTGGTGAATATGAAAAAGCTTAAACATAACGAGTTTAACTTGAGTGAGTTCTAAAATGCCTCATTGATTATGTTGCACTTGTTACGATTATCTCTATCATACTTTAACATAATAATCATTGCGTTTAATATGATCATTATCCATATACCACTACTAATATCACCTTTACAACTACCAGTATCAAATGGTAGTGGTATGTTTAGTTGTACAATTTTTTTCGAGTAATGGCG